AAAAACAGTTCAAAAATTTCAAGCCCCGAAAAAACCCTCAAAATCTCCTTTAATTGCTGTCACTAATTAAACCAAAAATGCGTCAAATTTCCCAATTTTTCCAAAAATGTCGAAAAAATGCAGTGTTGCCGCGGCAATTAAGCGAATTTTTCTGGGGTTTGCGCCAGAACACCCCCTGAGCACCTGGGCAAGTTTCCTCACCAAAAGCCCCCACATCGGGCCACTTGCGGTTGCAACATTGTGAACAAAATATCTTGCCTTGGGTATTAAACGGACAACGCGCTCAAAATATTGCGGTGTTGCCGTGCAAAAAACGCAATTTTCCAGCATTTTAGCCGTTGGCGGTAGCCAAAAACAGTTCAAAAACTTCAAGCTTCGAAAAAAACCATCAAAACTCGTTTAATTCCTGTTACTAATTAAACCAAAAAAGCGGCAAATTTCCCAAATTTTTCAAAACTGTCGAAAAAATGCGGTGTTGCCGGGGCAATTAATCGAGCTTTCCTGGGGTTTGCGCCAGAACACCCCCTGAGCACCTGGGAAAGTTTCCCCACCAAAAGCCCCCACATCGGGCCACTTCCGGTTGCAACCTTGTGAACAAAATATCTTGCATTGGGTATTAGGCAGACAACGCGCCCAAAATATTGCGGTGTTGCCGTGCAAAAAACGCAATTTTCCAGGATTTTGGCCGTTGGCGGTAGTCAAAAAGCAGTTCAAAAATTTCAAAAAAGCAGAAGGCAAAAGGGCAGAAGCAAAAATGTGCTCAGCAGGCAAAAGAATCGGACAATTGCAAAAAATTGCGATGTTGCCGTGAAAAATGCGCCATTTTGCTCGCAGTTTGCGTTCGAAGAAGTTAAAAGTGTCTGGAAAAGGTTCAAGCCCAAAAAAATGCAGAACGAGTAATTTCTGCCTGCACACCGGCAGAAGCAAAAATGTGCCCAACTAGCCCGAAAATCGAAAAATTGCAAAAAAATGCGGTGTTGCCGGGAAAAATGCGCGATTTTGCGCGCAGTTTGCCTTTGAAAAAGTTAAAAGTGTCTGGGAAAGGTTCAAGCCCAAAAAACCAGCCCAACGCGCCAGTTTATCCTGCAGACCAACGGAACTCGAAATGTGCAGCAGAAGCCGCGCACCAAATTGCGGTGTTGCCGCTGAAGCTTCCCAGCTTTCGGGACTTTTCCTGGGCAAGGTTCCACTGGCCTACCCGGGCTTTTGCCATGGAAATATACAGAGTGTTGGCCTTTTGCGGGTGAAATCCGAGTCGGGGGGGGCGGAATAAAGAGGCCGACGGTCCAACAAACATTTGCATAGGAGAAAGGCGAGCCGGGAAGAGCAAATCCGGGCGGTCGCCAATGATTAATGATGAGAAATGACAAAATTGATTGAGCGGGTCCACCATGGACCGTTTAAAGTCGCTCGGGTCGGGCACTAAACCAATATTCCCCCATCGATGTTTGCCGTCGATAAACAGGTGGATGAATATTTCATGAGTGTTTGGAAATATGAAAAGAGCGCCAAGGGTGGCCTCCCTATTTATGCCCTTAAATTTGCAATCGGAGAGGCGGAAGCCCGGAGAACTCCGGCAAGATTATGGGGGGGAAACTGAGCTGATTGCCCGACAACCAGAGGCTCGACGTCTCTGTCTGGGGCTCTGTGAGAGCGTCTGCATGTTGGACAGCGTCGCCTCTTGCGCTCAATTCTCCTCTGCGATAGCGAAGCGTTTTACTTGTCATGTTTGCGCCTCATATCAGACAGCACATACACGTTTAGACAATATAGTGTTCTGCAGACTGGCACGTCTTGTTAACTTGCCCGGCATCCAGACGCTTTTGCAGCGGCTCTCGTTGCAATTTTATGAGCGTTTCTCCGAAGGTCCAGGCCTTTTCGAGCGCT